CAGCCAGCCATGCTGGCTGGGGAATTCTGGGAGTTGAAGTCCACCCATCTTAAAGTGGCCAAGCTTGAGAAACACTGTGCTAAGGTTAGCAGAGCGCCACCTGGTGGAGACATCGATCAGCTCAACTCCAGGGCTGTACCACAGCAGGGCCCGTTTGAGGGGGGTGGGATTGCGGGAAAAATGTTGCTTAAGATCCTCAGGCACAAAAATATATTTAAAAATGTAAACATAAAAAATAGAAAGGCCTCCAAATATTCCAGTCCACTCATTCCGAAGGAGCTACAGGGATCACAGAAGGAAAACTAGAGACTCACCCCCTGGCTGTATTTTTTGTACCCCTGTTCTAGGGAGTCCCTGGGGAGGCTCTTTAGAACATATGTATTTTTAGTATTAAAATAGTGAAATATAAACGAAAAAAGTCAGTGCTTCTCAAACTTGACATCTTTAAGATGGGTGGACTTCATCTCCCAGAATTCCCTAATCAGCATGTGTGGACTCCAACTCCCAGAATTCCTCAGCCAGGATGGCTGACTGGGGAATTCTGGGAGTTGAAGTCCATCCATCTCAAAGTTCCTGAGGCTGAAAAGCACTTCTCTAAGGTGAGAACCCCAGGTCTGAACGTACTGGCAATTAATAAACATTAATTTACAGGTCTGTTGCAATGAAATCATGCCAGCCAATGACAAAATCAGGCTAAACTGGGGGAGACCCAGATTCCTGGGGTGGAAACTCACTGGCTGGGTTTGCCCTGCTTAACCGGTCAGGTAACAATCGAGCTGGTGCATCCACAAAGCTAAATTAGTTTTAAACTAAGGTGTGTGCGTGCCCGCATGTGTGTGCGCTGCTGTACCAACCAGTAAGCAAGCAGAGCCCTTTGTACAAACACAGCCCCACCGGGATCAGTGTCTGCCCACCTATTTTACGGGGGGCGATTCCTGGAGAAGTGAGAGGAGAAAATCTCATCCATGCAATTGCCTCGTGATTTATTCGACTTATATCTCTGCCGTGCCAGCATGCCTACACGGCACTCCCTCCTCTTTCCCCCAACAAGAACCCTGTGGAGTTGGCCAGGCTTAGAGAAAGTGACTGGCCCAAAGTTTGTTTATCTATTTATTGGATTTCTCTCCCGCCCATCTCCCCTACAATAGGGGACTCTGGGTGGGTTACAAAGAGATTAAAACTAT